ATTTTTAATTCCGTTTCTAAATTAGAAACGGATTTTTAAATTCCGTCGCTAAATTAATTTAGAGACGGATTTTTTGATTCCGTCTCTAATTTAGAAACGGATAAAATTCCGTCGCTAGAATTCCGTTTCTATATGGACATTTTTTTGTAGTGTTCTTTATTGAATTATTTGCATAGTTGTACAGTTTCCAAGTAAAAATTTCATAACAAAAGATTAGCAAATAATCATTATTTGTGAGGTAAAAAAATTATGGAAAAACCGCAAACTGCACCGCACCAAACCGTATTTTACGGTGCGGTTTGGTGCGGTTTGTTTAGAATTGCGGTTTGGTGCGGTTTGAAAAAATCACAAACCGCAATTTTGCGGTTTGGTGCGGTTTGAGATCCAAACCGCACCGTGCACAACCCTACATAAGATAAGTCAATGAGAGAGTGACATTTGTCATCCTCACATTGAGGCGCTTTTCTTTTAGTATAATATATAAATAGATAGACGCCTCTCTATGTATAAATAAGATTGTTTCTAGGTTTTCATAGAGGCTTAGATAGAATAAATCACAAAGATTTGGCCTCATCCCCTCTTTAAAAGTTTTAGCCCACAAATTGTCAATAAAATCATTATTGTTTGCATATATAAAATCATCTTCCTCTTTGGTTAAATTTTTTACGGCTTACACACAGATCTAACAAAAGCCTAATTATAATTTTGTCTACCAGGATGTTCATGATTGTGATTTTATGTGAAATATTTATTTTAAAATTCAGGTACGTATATGCAGTTAAATCTTTGTAAGTGTGATTTAAATCATATTATATATATTAAGATATTTTTACATAATTTTATGAACTGTTTAAATATTACATGAACATCAAATTATTTTAGTTGATGTAAATTAATACTTCGTATCTAAGAGATTTTTTGGTTTGTAAGGTGGTTTGAGTTAGGAATTTGGAATGATCAAAAAGAATTGCGTGGACCTGGTCCACAATAATATTATTGTGGATCCGAGGTCTATATACACGCAACTGACATTATATTGAACAAGTGACCATTATTTTTAACATAGTAACTTTATTTTTAACATAGTAACCTTTATTAAAACTACTACAATGTTTAATAATATTGTGAACTTGAAATACAACGCTATTACCCTAATTTTAACATACTGGCCTTTATTATTCATATTGATCAGTGTATATAAAATATTTCATTACAAAATTAACCAGGCCTATATATTATCAAAATGATTTTTATTTCAACATAGTGACTTTTTTTTTCATTATAGTGACCTTTTTTTTTAATTAATAAAACAACCATATTTTCTCTAATGTTAGTGGTCCACAATAAATTAGTGTGAACCAGATCCATTTAAGAATTTGTATGGAACGATATCAAGATGACTTGGAGTCGAAATTTAAGTTGATTCTTTATACCATGTGATTAGGGGATTTTGCTCCCACCAATCGGAATGCGCCACGTGGGCCAATCAGGTCCTGCCAAGTGTCCCCCAGTTGGACCTCTCAGGGCTTGCACGTGGCACACGCTTATTCGTCCACCCTGGACTTATTATGTCATGACACGTGGCATACTCCATGCCTAATGGAGAAGCCGGTCACCTAGGCCCAACTTCCGAGGGAAGCCCAATCAGCCCAAGGTTAACCTAAACCTAGATTGGCACGTTTCCCGAGGTTATAAATACCTCCCTTAAACCTCATTAAGGGAGATTACGCAGATTACACACATTAAACACTCTCACCTAGAGAGACCCAATCACTTTAATTCCCGCATTAATTACTCCTTAATCAAGTACTAACTTGACCGTCGGAGGCGGATCTCCAATCATCCGGAGCATCCGTTTGTTTTGCAGGTACAGGCGTCCGGTTCTAGTCTCGGAATTGTAACTCTTCCGCAGGACATCAGAAAACCCTGAAACACCATGTGATTGGTTTGATTTTGTTATATATATATATATATATATATATATATATATATATATATATATATATATATTTTGTAAGGTAATAAAGAGAAGACACTCTTTGGGACCAGAGTCTTTCATAGACATATAAGAGTGGGGAGAAGGGTAAGAGAATTCCCACCATTAAGTTCCCTTTAATGGGTATTGATCCCACAATCGTTGTTGAAGAATGCACTTGGCCGTTGAATTCTACACCCAAATATTGTCGGTTTAAGGTATGAGTTTAGATATTTAAATTTTCTTAAAATATAAGGAATAATTATTTTGGAGAAAACTACTCATACAAATAAACAATATACTAGCTTTAAAGTATATAGACATGCAGTCTAACTTTTTTTTTTTAATTAAAAAAAAACATTCAATAAGAGAACTTTTAATTAATAAACATAAATAAGAAGTAGCAAAATTACATTGAAAACGTAAATTTACATTGGGTAGGTAAAAAAAAGTAGAGAGAGAAAGTAGTTAGAGAACACGGGAAAGTAAAATTTACCTAGGAAAGTTAAATTTGCACAAATATTTTTGCAAATGGGAGAGAATTTTGTTAAAAAAATAACATTAATGGTACTTGAAAAAAGCAAATGTGACTAATATTTTGGGTCACCAAAAATGGCATAAGTGACTATCAAAAGGGGACGAAGAGAGTACTTAGAAGGATCTTGTTAACAATCGTCTCTAGATGTTACTTAATACGGAGTATATTCTCTAAATTAATACTCGCTCCCTCCGTCCCTAAAAGACTGATCTTTTTGGTGAGTTTTCATGGGTATTAAGATACTTAAATTGGAAGTATAAATGTATGGGGAAGCTAATAAAAGTACATTGACAAATTAAATTTATGGGGTTTGCAAAAATGTAAAGAGAGAAAATAATAGAAGTACATAGAAAAAGAAAAATTTACATGTGGAAGCTAATTTTTCACAAATATTATTGCAAATAAGAGGGTATTTAATACGGAGTACAACAATGGAATGAACATTTTGGGACTAAAATTTGGCCAAAAGGGTCATTCTTTTAGGGATGGAGGGAGTATTAAATTTGGAATGCAATCCTAAATTACATGTTGATCTGTGCAATTAAATTTTATTTTACTTTGATATTTTCACTTTTGGTTCTCTAATCTAACACTTGGAGGTTGCTCATTAGCTTTTTCCTATTTATAATTATCACAAATTCATAATTATTAGACATTAAACATGACATATTGCTCATTAGCTTTGATATTTTCACTTTTGGTTCTCTAATCTAACACTTGGAGGTGTTTCAAAAAAAAAAATGTAACACTTGGAGGTTGCTCATTAGCTCTTTCCTATTTATAATTATCACAAATTCATAATTATTAGACATTAAACATGACATATTAGATAGTAAAAAAATGTAAATAAAGGAAAAAAAAAGTACGGAGTACATAGTAATTTTTTTGAAGTTTTGTACGGAGTAAAATAATCTAAGCTTGATTGTTCTATATGACTACAACTAATTTCAAAAGATATATATATATCCTTAGCTTCACAATTTAACTTTTTTCAAGCCGATCAAATTTTAATGTGTGTGTGTGTTTTTTTTTTTTTTTTGGATTTTTTTTTTGAATTTTTTTTAATTTTTTTATTTATTTTATTTTGTTTGTTTGTTTTTATTTTTTTATTTTTTGTTGTTGTTGTTGTTGTAGTAGTAGTGTGTATAGGGTGTGTGTCTGTGTGATACTGTGATGTGTGTGTTACTTTTACCAAATTACCCATCTAAAGAGGGGACTTTAGAAATTTTCTTAATTAATTGTTATCATTTTAAATAACCTTATAATAAAAAATCGGATTAAGGGTGTATTCAATTTACTTGATTTTTACTTATCTTATTTTATAAGAATTTACATGAACTTATTACACCCGAAATATAGACCCTAAGGGGTGTTTGGTTCATTAAATTTGAATTGGTATGAAATCTTATACTAGAGAGATATAGATTTTAAAACACATACAACATACTAGTCCAAATTTGTTTGATTTTATTATTAGAATGGATACTATACTTCATTAATATAATGGATTGTGAATTTTAGGTCGGGAGGAGGTGGATATGAGGGAGAGTTAATACCCCCAAAAACTCAACCAAACAATAAAATATAACCCCATTTCAAATGATCTATTCAAAACGACCTATTTAATTTATAGGACTAGGAAGTATATCTTCGTTACTCCGTGGAAGTATACTCAATCACAGGAATATAAGATATTGAAGGCAAGGTTATTTCTGTTTACAAGTTGATTTTGATCCATATTTCCAAATAATCTATCTTTATCTTTGGGGATTTTCTTCTAATCTTATTGGACGGGAATCTTTGGGAATTTTCAACGGTGTAGAAATATAGAAATACTACGTACATGGAAGAGTTTATACAAATTACTCCGTATCAATTTTCACTTTAAATTTTGACCAGTTTTTCAATTCTCCCATTAATCAGTTAATTTAATGATACTCCCTTAGTCTCCGAAAAACGACCTATTTGGATTGATTTTGCGGGTATTAAGAAACTTAATTTACAAATACAAATGTATGGGAAAACACAAAAAAAATTAATAATGAAAGGAGAGAGAAAAAAAGTTTAGAAATTTAGAGAGGAGATGACACAAAGATCTGGAAAAATACAAGGGTAAAATAGGGAGAAGGAGCTACATGACAGAAATATTTGAGGATATATTGGTAATTTTGTGATTTTAATAGATGTTGGGAAGAATAAAAAAGTCATTGTTTTTTTTAGGACTAAAATTAGGCCAAATAAGTCGTTCTTTCGGGTGAATAATTGATAAATGAAAACTCTTAAAATTAATACGAGAAATTAATTTTATACCTAGTACAAGTATTCATTTCGCCCGTTTTTCACTTGTTAATTTATACGAGAAATTAATACGAGAAATTAATTTATACCTAGTACAAGTATACCTAGAGACTACCACTAGCAGGCATAAATGCATAATACTTTGACAATCGAGAATCATTTATACTTGAAAAGAACAGAGCAGTAAATAACATACTTCGTATTGATAATAACGAACAGTACTCCGTACTAATTAGCATACAATAGTTGAAAAGAATAGACAAAAGAAGTGCCCCAAATCAAACAGAACACAAATACAATGAGTCAATGACTTAAAGCTAATTTTGACGCTAATTAAATGACCCTAATTAGCTTAATACTCTGTATTATCTAGTATGAAGAACGTCTTCTCTTTCTACCATTTTGCTTCTTTTTCTCTTGCATTGCCACCAATTTCTCATTAATCTTCTTCTCCTTGACTTCAATCTGCCTACAACGCTCTTCAAGCCGCTTCTCCTTCGATTTGAGTCGCTTTTTCACTTGCTTCTCCTTCGATTCGAGTCGCCTATTCACTTGCTTCTCTTTCAACTCGAGTTCATTCTGTTTCAATTCGAGTCGCTTGTTCACTTGCTTCTCTTTCGACTCCATTCGTTGGTTAATTTCCTTCTCCTTCAGCTTTAACGCCTCGCTTTGACCCTTCAATCGCTTCGATTCCAACTCATCCATCGACAAACATCGCTCCTTAATCTCCTTCTCTTTCAACTCTACTGCCTCACTTCGTTCCCTCAATTTCTTCCATTCCAACTCCATCGACAAGCATTGCTCCTTCTCTTTTAACTCCAATTCCTCGCTTTTCTCCTTCAATCGCTTCGATTCCAATTCCATCAACAACCATTGCTCCTTAACCTCCTTCTCTTTCAACTCCAACGCCTCGCTTTGTTCCCTCAATCTCTCCAATTCCGACTCCACCGACAAGAATCGCTCCTTAACCTCCTCCTCTTTTAACTCCAACACCTCAATTTCCTCCCTCAATCGCTTCGATTCCGACTCCATCGACAAGCATTGCTCCTTAAACTCCTTCTCTTTCTCCTTAAACACTTCCCAACCCGCCTCGATTTCCTTCCGTTTCGACCCCAACACCCTCTTCGTCTCATTAATCTCCTTCTCTTTAACCAACAACACACTATACAACTCATCAATATCCTCCATCTCTTCCTTCTCCCTCACACCACACGCCTCTTCGCGTACGACCACCTCCCGCTCTCGTCCCTCGACAACCCTCTCCCGCTCCTCCACCTTCTTTACCCTCTCCTCGACAGCCTTAACCTTCTCGAACCCATCCTTAAACCTCCTCTCCATAATCTCAACCGCCTTAACCCGATCTTGAATTGTTCTCTTCTCCAACTCAATCGACTCATACCAATCCTTAATCTGCTTCTCCCTCAATTCAACTCCTTCGGTTCTTCTTTTCAACCAACTCTCATCAAACTCCAATTTCTTAACCCTAATTTCAACCCCCTTTTTGAAATTCTGAAGCGATGTTCGAATAAACTGATTTTCTATCTCCTTTGACTCCACCTCCTTGACTCGCTCCTCGATCGATTTGTTCACCCTTACGAAAGATGCCTGCAATGTTCGCCATTGTTTTGAAAGAGCAAGCATTGGAAACGATTTCGCCTGGAAATCCTGAAACGTTTCGCCGAGTTTCAGCATTAACAGCTTCGCAACTCGAAGATCGTTCGTTGTTTGATTCGTAACAGACATTGTTGTTGAAATTTAAAACCCTAAAATTAACAAGAACAAAAAACCCCAAAATTTATCAAGAATTAAAAACGCTAGTTTTCTGCAATTGATCGTATATTTTTGTTTTAAGTGAGGATTTCAGATGAAAGGTAAGAGATATTGTGATATTTATAAGGAAGGAATAGTTATCCGTGATAATCAAGTTTCCATTTTTAAGATTATTTTTTTGGGTTTTATTTATGGAAAGTGAAGAACAAATTTCCAAATTTTTACTCGGGGTATCAATTGGGGTTTTAATGTAAAGATTTTTTTTTGATGTATTTAGGATAAAGTTTGATTGATATAAGATTCTAAATGAAATTATTTTATTTCAAAATTCTATCCAAACTTATAGCTGAAATTTCTGTAAGGGATTTTTAATTGTATTTTTTAAACAGGTTTTAATTATAAACTAGATAAACCGTATTAGTGTAAATTAATTAATTTAATTTATTTTTCTTACATTTATCTTATCTTAACTTTTTTTTTTAAAACTTGAACTCGTATTTATCTAATTTAGTTGAATTGGGGTTTTAAATTTTTGTTTAGGGAGAAAATTATCCAAAATTATTTATTAAAAAATAATAATAAAGTGAATAATAATATGACACCGTCGTTAATTGATGTCGATTGTTAAGATAAGATAGTCTAGTTATTGATCCAGGATCCCTCCTCAACTTAAAAACTAAGATTTTGTTCTTTTTCACCTTTAAAATATCAAGTTTAATTGGCATAAGTGATAAATAAGCCCTAATAATTAAGTAGACATATTAGGCTCCTTTTTAAGAGAATTAAAAAAAATAAAAAAAAAGTTGTCTTTTTAAGAAATTAAGATTTTGTTCTTTTCAGTCTTCACCTTTAAAAAAATCAATTTTAATTTGCATAAATAAGCTATAAAAAATAGACATATTAAGGGTCTGTTCTCATTGACTGAACTCAGCTGAACTGAATAGAAGTGAAATGAATATTTTATAAGAGAAGGAAATTAGGAGCTGAACTGAGCTAAGCTGAACTGAATTTCAACGTAAGAGAACAGGCCCTAAGTTCCTCGTAAGATAGCAAAATAAATGAAAGACATGGATAAAAAAGAAAAAAAATTATTTTAGCGTTTTAGGACTTTATTATCTACTTTGTTTGCCCACCTGATCTCTAAAATCAAAACTCAAAATAGTCTACACAAAGTAGGAATCTTAGTTCACTTTCTGCACGGGTAAAGAAAAAAAAAACTTTATTTTTTAATGTGCAGTTTTTCAACAGTTAAATATAATTTAGTCAAAGTTAGTCAAGTCAAATACAGTAATTAGATTTTAAAAAAAAAATCAAAATTGATAAGCAAAAATGAGGCGAACTAAACATAACCTTGTATTATATCGATATCATTGATAGATAATCCCTCCTGTCTTCAACAAATACGTACCTCATATTATAAAGTTTAGACCAACAAATTACATGGTTATATTATGACAATGAGGAGAAAAACAGAAATAATGGATGAGACTTTACTGGAGATTCTTGTTCGAGTACCAGTGAAATCAGCCCATCAATGTAAGCTCGTTTTAGTAAAGGCTATACATACAATTGTTGTATATGGTTTCTACATACAACCTTATTTTGTCATGTTTTTATTGGCTACAATAATGGTCCATGTTCCATTAAAATTCAATTTATATTTAACTCCTAATTTTCTCCCTTTTATTAATGATGGGTTAAAATTCTAGTGGTGTTGTATGTAGGGATAACATACAATAATTGTATGTATATCAGCTCTCACTCGTTTTGAAGCGTTGGCTCGCCTTGATTTCTAGTCCTTTGACACTGTAATAATGCATCACAAGATTCCAACATCAAGACAATCATCATCTACAACATGTCAATTATTGTATGAATGAATAATAATTCCTCTAATACAACTTTTGAGGTCCAAGCATTACGTACGAACCACCCCTTTAATCCTTTAATTTTCTCAATCAACAATGTCATATGAGTATGCTATCGTGTGTATCTAATAATTTACCCTTGACTTGTGAAGGATATACTCCGTCGTCAAATAGTGTCAAACCTTTTAACTAAGCAATCTTATAGACTTCCCGGCTTCTTGGATAATCATATTACTGAGTTCAGCGCGGATATGATGATTGCTACTTTGATTCTTCTTTACTGTCATTAGCTTTCAGCACTCGTCTTTCCTTCTATCTCTTTCTCTAATTGCTTTATGCGTAATTCCAGAGGAGCAGGTGAAAAACTGGACTCAAGCTTGAAATTGGAAATGCAGTTGATTAAGACTCTGAGGGCAGATTTTTCCATGTTGACAGCATCATTCTGCAGCAAGTTTAAATTACAGGATCAATCATAGATAAGGTTGAACTTCAGCTTTGAATTCTGTAATAAATGGAAATCTTTTATTTACTAGTAAAAGGAGTAAGGGAAGGAGCCGAAAAATATGAAAATAGAACGATTTTAGCAACAATACCTGAGCTCTGTCACTATCTTTCTTGAGCATTTCCTGCACTCGCTTCTGAATGCACTCCAAATGGGCTTTCAGTAAAGGAACTGGTGGGAAATCATTTTCAAGCTTGAATGCACATGTATACACAACTGCTCGAAGATGCTCGTCCCTCTTAATAAGAGATCGGATAAAACCTGTGCAAATAAATCAAATCTGTGAATGAATGAATGAATGAATGAATGAAAATTCAGACTTGAAACATATTACATCCAGAAATGTTCAGCTGCAGTTAAAAAGAATAATATCATCGACGAAACACATGCTTATAAGGCAGATGAGACGAGTAATAAAACCTGCTTATCCAACCAATTGAACAACTTGGTTTAAATTAATTCATTAAAGCAAATTCTATAATGATATGATGTTTTTGTATAGGCAGAGTTGAGCGTGGAGCTATGGACTTCTACATTTACACAGCACGGTGCTTCTAGACAACTACGTGGAGACAGAAATTACTGTAAATCTATGTTACATTGACTCTTCATTTCACCTCAAATATCCATGTCAGAACCTCAACACTCAGACATGGGTATGACACTTGGGCACCTCACATTTGGTTCAAAACCATGGATTTTTTTTTTTACGAAATAGCTGAGTCAGACACTTGGACACATACCCATGTCACGGTGTTGGACATGGGTACCCGAGTCCATGTAATATAGCTAATCTTTCAAATGTAAATGACATTCGAGTCAATATCAGTATTTGTTACCCCTCTTCCAATAGATGGGTTCTGAAACTTTTGACAGGAATAAAGGTTATAAGGCTGCAATTGTGTTAATTTTCAGATTGAGGACAGAGGTAGAGAATTTAACATACCTGGAATTTTCTTCGTCAATCCCAATATCTGGCACAAATAGGAGTCTTTCTCAGGCCAACAAACCTCACTCTCAGTATAGAAGTTCCCGAGAAGTGAAAAAAGTTCATCTTCATCATAAGACTGTGCTAACTTGTATGAGGCTATAAACTGCAGGAATGCAAAAATCTCCATAAGCTGAGACCGAGTATAACCCTGCTTAGCGCTAAAGTCTCTCCACATGGTACTGAACTTCATCGCATCATCTTTTATATGTAGCGTGATACTAGTGTTTAGTTTCATCAATGCTCCTGACAAAGCTATGCAACTAGCAAAGTAAACCTGTCTAGGGATATTTTCAGACTTAACCAGCTCGTAAAAACTTTGGATCACATTAAGAACAAGCTTTGCTGGATCAGGTGCCAACGGAAGAGAATCAGAAATCTTGTTAAGCATCATATGTATGTCCTTGTAATGCTTAATTAGGTAAGACCTCATGCCATTTGTGTCCATATTTCTGAACAACAATTGAATCTCACTGCACGCCACTGGCTGAAGTTCTCTGGTTTTTGTTTGTGCAGAAGTTGTAACCTCTATGCAAGTAATAGAACAATAGTAAGTAAGCATTAAAAGTTATACAAAGGGTGTCATGCCAAGAATATGTGTAAGTGAGAAGGTGTATGCAGGGAGAACCAGCTAGCTCTGGGTTCGAGGAGCATTAGTAAGTAGCAGTAAGCTCTTCAAGTTCTATTAAAATTGCCAAGGGGCAAAGGTATAGAAACCTAGTCTAAGGATCATCAGAGACTCGAGGCAAAAAGAGCAAAGATAAATCAAAAGAACTCCAAAAGAGACCATGACAACTACCAAACTAAGAAATCATATGTAAAGATAGTGTGAATGTTAAAAAATGCATCTGTGACCCTGTCTAAAATAACAAGAACATAACCCATCAAAATCTAGAACAAAGCGAAAAGTGTTTAAATTTTTGGCAGTCCAGCAAAGTGATACAAGTAGCAAGGGTATCGACAAATCACTCACACTCACACACACACACGCACACACAATGCTCAATGTCACAGCCTCACAGGTTGTGTTAGTAGTTTGTCGCATTATCATTGCTCTATGTGCTAAGCCATTTGGCCCATTAGTGAAATAAGTAGGAGGCTAAAACACTAACTCCTGAAGACACACAGCAATACAAGAAAATTTTAGATTTGGTTAGTTGAGCAGAACAGCTAAACTAGTATGATTTCTTCCTAGTAAACAGGATTAAAGTATTAAGATCAGTTTCACATAGCTAGTTCATAGACATTTCTGCATCATATATGATCTTCGCCCTTTGCCACAACCATTAAGACATTAACATTGGCAGTTTTGCCATAAATCCAACCCAAGAGGATCAAAGCCAATTTAACTCGAATACATATGATCATATGAGCAATCAAGGATACCAATTAGCAAAATATGGTTAGGTCTAATCCGGGATCAAATCCCGTGAACATCATTGCCATGTGTAGCTCTACAATCTATATAAATCAATAAAAAAAAAATTAAAAGAACAAAATTGTTTTTTTTTTTCCTATCAATTTTATTAACAGCATCACAAAAAGGTCAAAATCACCACCATCATCAAGAAGTCAACAACCACCCATAGTCCATATTTGAATGTATGCAACTATGCATAAATGCCTAAAAGGGCTAAAACCATATTTAGTAAAAATGTAAACAAATCTTCCTCCATTAACTTTCACTGCATGACTACATCAATAATTGAAAATCAGAACATATTTAAGATTAATAAATTAGCATAAAAAAGGTAACTTTGTGATAAAAAATGCCAATTTTTCAATACCTTTGCTTTGCTTAGCCTTCAATTCCAGTAAATCCTCCCTCAGTTTTTTCTCCTCCATCTCCAGAACTTTCCATCGCTCATCAAATTCCTTGAATTTCATCACCAAATCTTGACTTCGTTCATTCAACACTTTCTCTCTACAATCCAATACTCGACATCGTTCATCCATCTCATTTTCTCTCTCCTCCACCACTTTTCGACGCTCTTCAATTTCTCCCTCCATCACCTTATTCTCCTCCATAATCGTCGCTTTCATTTCCACCATTTCGCAACGTTTCACCTCCATTTCCTTACTAAGTTCATCAATTTCCGTCACTTTAACTTCAAAAGCGTGGATTTTTTCGTTCAATTGATCTTCTCTCATCTGCACTTCCTTCAGCCTTTGGTTGATGGAATTCTCCAGCAATTCGACCTCTTTTAGGGAGAATTCGAGAGATTTTGCAGCTTGAAGGATTTCTCTCTCCTTTGACTCGATGACTTTGACTCGGTCCGCCATTGATGTTTTGAGCATGGAGAAGGAGCTCTGCAAGTTACTCCATTGTTCGGAAAGAGGAGAAATGGAGGTTGCGTGAGAGTGTAAATTCTCCATTGATGATGAATTCAATTCATGGAATTTTCAGAGAAATGACATTGGGAAAGTGAAGAAGCTTGATGACGATGAATATACATACACAGAGAGTGGGAACGAGGAAGGAAGACGAAGAGACGCAGTAAAATTTAAAGGCGCAGATGCTTTTCTTTAAATTTTACGGTTCCAAAATATTTTGGACACTTTATTGATTCCCAAATTGGAGCTGTCAAAAAGTTATTGATCATACAAACCCATTTGCATGTACCCGGTCGAGTTTTCGCACGTGCTTTTTTTTTTAAAAAAAAATCGCAGAATTTCAAATACCTAAAAATAAAAAAAACGCAGAACAACAATGGAGGAGAGAGAAAGTGAGAAAACGCAGCTATCAATCATCCATTGAGGAGAGAGAAAGTGAGAAATCGCAAAAATTGCAGTAAACGAACATCAATCGAGGAGAAAAAAGGTTAGAAAACGCAAAAATTGCAGAAATCGATCATCAATCGAGGAGAAAAAAGGTGAGAAAACGCACAAATAGAAGAATTCGATCATCAATTAAGGACAAAGAAAGTGAGAAAACTTACAAATTGCAGAATTCGATCATCAATGGAGAATTCGACTTTCGATACAACAAATTGCAGCAATCTCATTCACGAATTGCTACAAAAACAGAGGCAAATTGAGACTGAATTTGAAATCGATTTAAATCGATCGATTATAGAAGAAGAAGAAACTAATTGTTTTGGAGATGAATTCGTACCAATATTCAACAATCCAGACAATGCAGATGAAGCAATCGATAATGCAGATGAAGCAATTGAGAATGCAGAAGACGCAATTCATAATGCAGAAAATCAAGTGGTTCCTGATAAATCAATTGATTCAAATTCAGAACAAACAACCAAACCAGATGCAACTGAAGGTAATTTCTATGAATTTTTGAGATTGTATGCAAAAAGTAACCCTTTGAATACATAATTGTTACCCTTTTCATGCATAAACGTGACCATACTTATGCCTAAATGTTACCCTCAGATTCAATGCAGAACTTTTTAGATTGCATGCAAAAAGTAACCCTTTGAATGCCTAAATGTTACCCTTTTCATGCTTAAAAGTGACCCTATTTATGCTCAAATGTTACACTCAGATTGTATGCTGAAAATTCAGATTGCATGCAAAAAGTAACCCTTTGAATGCCTAAATGTTACCTTTTTCATGCATAAAAGTTACCCTATTTATGCTCAAATGTTACACTCAGATTGTATGCTGAAAATTCAAATTGTATGCAAAAAGTAACCCTTTCAATGCCTAAATGTTACCTTTTTCATGCATAAAAGTTACCCTATTTTCAAACGAATGTTACCCTTTTTTTTATGCTGTCTGTGGTTATTATCTGATTTGTTTGTATTAAATAACAGATACAAATCCAATTGATGCTTATGGTTTAGATCTTAGAGGATCATTTGTTGGTGTGGTAAGAGAAACTTTTGAAGAAATTTTGGAATTGTATGAAAAACATGCTGCTATACTGGGGTTTTCAATAAGAAAACATACAACTAGATTCAAACAACACACAAAAATAGTAACTGAGAAAAACTATGTGTGTTCTGCTGAGGGAAAGAGACATTCAGGTCAGAAGAAAACAAAGTTAGTTGAAATGGTTGATGAAGAGGATGTAAATGTAAAAACAAGAAAGCCAAGACAAGTATCCATTACAAGATCAAATTGCAAGGCATGCATAAGAGCAAAAGTGAATAAAGAAGGACAGTTTGAGGTGGTGGCTCATGTTATTCAGCATAACCACGAGCTAACAAATCCACAGTGGCATTATTTGCATCGTTCTGAAAGAAAAATGACAGAGGAAAAAGTTGTAACAATCAAAACAATGAAATTTTCAGGTCTAACTACAATGGACACTTACAATTACATGGCTACAGAGGCTGGAGGAGAACAGAATATAGGCCATAGTGTTGTAGATCACCTGAATTTCTGCTCAAGGTTAAGAATGGAACAAATTGAGGCTGGAGATGCTCAAACTTTAGTGAACATTTTAAGTCAGGAACAATCAGAGGATCCAAACTTCTTTTTTAGAGTGAAGTTTGACAAAGAAGGAAGAATTTGCAATATCTTTTGGAGAGATTCAATGATGCTAGAAGACTATAGGATATATGGAGATGTTCTTGTTTTTGATACAACATACAGAACCAACAGATATAATCTTATATGTGCTCCATTTGTTGGCATAAATAACCACTGGCATAATTGTATGTTTGCTTGTGCTTTTATTGGGGATGAAACGACAGATTCATTTGTGTGGTTACTACAAACCTTCTTCAAAGCTATGGAGGATAGAAAACCAACTTCAATATTCACTGACCAGGACCAAGCAATGGCAAATGCTATACTGGAGGTAAAAGATTTATATTGACATCTTACAGATTTGAGCTATGACAATAAAGTTTTCCTTTTTCACATAAAGTTACCCTTTTAGCTGCATAAAGTTACCCTTTTTAGTGCATAAATTAACCCTTTTAACAGCATAAAGTGACCCCTTTATTTTCAATGCAGGTGATTCCTAATACAAGACATAGACTTTGTATATGGCATTTGGAGCAAAATGCCATAACCAGATTTGGAGCTCTTAAAAAAGACAAAGAATTCAAATTTGCATTCAACCAGTGCTTAAAGATGTGTGTGACAGAACAAGAATTCGAAGCAAAGTGGCAAGCAATGTTGCAAAAATATGAGTTGACAGAACACTCTTGGTAAAAAAGAGTGTATGAGTTGAAAGACAAATGGTGTCCTGCCCTTTGTAGAGATTTCTTTTCAGCAGGGATCTTATCGTCACAAAGGAGTGAAAGCACTAATCATGCCATAGGATTCAGAGCAAGTAAAGCAACTACTTTGACAGAATTTTATACCATATTTAAGAAGACAACTAATCATTGGAGAAGCACAGAGAAATATGATGAGTTTACCTGTTGCAAGTCAATAGCATTCACTTCATTGCCTCTATCTGGAATGCTAAAGCATGCTGCACAGGTAAAAAGTTAACTGACAAGTACATAAATTACACCTAATATATGGCAATTTAAATGAAGCTACATGATTTTGATGTACAGGTTTTCACTTTATCACTCTTTAGAAATTTTGAAGAGGAGTTTGGATACTCTATGGCAACAACTGTTCAGATATTAGGCAGTAATGAAGAATGCCTACTTTATCAAGTAACACTAGAAGACAAGCCATGGTCTGCACATCAAGTAAACTATATACAAGAGAGCCAAACTGTATGGTGTACTTGCAAAAACTTTGAAGCATCTGGATGGTTATGTTATCATTGCATCAGAATTCTACGTTTGCATTCAGTAACAAGAATACCAGACAAGTATGTTTCAAAAAGATGGACTAAGTTTGCAAAAACAGAGGCATGGGATAGATTAAAGAATCATGATCCTAAACAGCAATATATTCCATGGAGGCAAACAATGATGACGAAATACTACAATTTAATCTTAAAAAGTCAAGAAAATGAAGAGACAAGAGCATTTATGGAAGAAAGCTTCAGAAACAGTCTTAAAATGGTGGAAGACTTACTTGCTAGTGCTGCTCAGAAAGAAAGTGCAGAAGCTGCTTCTAACATTCCTGATGTGGCAGACAACACTCAAAGCAATACTGACGCTTCTTCAGCATCGAGTACAAGCACATGTGTACCAATAATTCTTGATCCTAAAAGGGCTGTAACAAAAGGAAGAAGCAAGAGAGCAAAAGGAGGACTTGAAAAAAGCAAGAGAAAAAGAAAACCAGCACTGCCACCTCCAAATTCAGAATTTGGATCAAAGACACCTAACTTACGACTCTTTTAAGATCTTTTTTAGAACATTTTTTTTTTCGAAATTAATATACCTTGTATTGTTAAACTATTTTTCTTTTGTTTTTTTACTCTATGACTAGTTTAATGAAAATGTGATTGACACTTTTATTAGCACATGTTTAATTATTGGAACACATCAACTTATGTTACCCTTTTAACGTATAAAAGTAACCCTTTTCATGCATAAAAGTGACCCTTTTCATGCATAAAAGTTATCCTTTCTATCCACTAAATCAAACTTTTCTTTGGCAATAGTTACCCTTTCTGTTAATAAAAGTTAACCCTTTTATCAATAAAAGTTACCCTTTCCATGCATAAAAGTTACACTATCTACCCACAAAAGTATACCTTATAATGTATAAACTTATTATTTCTACCCACAAAAGTAACCCTTTTTATCCTTTCTATCCACTAAATCAACCTTTTCTTTTCTAATAGTTACCCTTTCTGTTAATAAAAGTTACCCTTTTTATCACTAAAAGTTATCCTTTTCATGCATAAAACCCCTGACCCTTTTATTTTACAGAAAAAGTGTCCCTTTTCATGAATAGAAGTGACCCTTTTTCTACATAAAAGTGACCCTTTTCATTGCTAAAATTACCATTTCTAACAATAAAATCTACCTTTTTCTTGCTTAAAAGTTACCCTTTCTATAAATAAAGTTACCCTTTCTATAAATAAAAGTTACCCTTTTCTGCATAAAAGTTACCCCATAAAAAATATAAAAATAAACCTTTTAATTACTTTATGTATTCACATACATCAGTATTCCAAAAACAACTAAAGACTTTAAACTAAGTTTAATTACATCATTAAACTTAATGTATGCACATACATTAAGTTTTTTCATTGTTAAAAAAACCCCCTGAACTAATCAGCTAACAACTATCAATTATTTCACTATTTAGAAGGAGTAAACTTTTTTGCCCTTTTTCCTTTGTTCTTTTCCTCTTCTCCCTCTGCCTTTGCTTCTGCTTCTGCTGCCATTTTTCTTTCTTCTGTTTCTCTCTTCTTCTTTGCAACAATTGCAGCCTTTAATCTTTCTTCAATTCCA